ATTCTTTGTGTGTGTGTGTGTGTGTGTGTGTGTGTGTGTGTGTGTGTGTGTGTGTGTACATATATATGTAGTTTTTTGAGGATTGTTCATCTTATATGTGTAATTATTTTATCCGGAAAGATGAGAAATGTGGAAGAAACAGTGACCCAAGAATTACCGAAACAAAAACAAAACAACCACGGAAGAGCCACCCATGCAGGAAAATCTCTCTGCAGAATGATGCATGGCATCAGGCCATTTAGCATCCATGAAAGTTATGTAGTTTTGGTTCAGTGGCTTGACAGGAATAACCCCACCCCCACCCTAATACCCCGAGTTTACTCCAGTCTGGGCTAGGAGTTAGAAGTTTGTAGTGATCCAGACAGACTGTGTCTTTACCCTCATAAATGCCAAGACCATTACATGGAAGATGATAACCAAAAGGGCTGTTATATTTGAGTACTCCTCAGAATCACCTGAACTTGAAACTTTTTAATGCCCTTAAATGTGCATTTCTATCAAATCCCCAAGTGGATTAAACCATATCTTTGTGAAGTCCTGGCCAAATTGTTAGTGCTGGCTTACAGAATGTGCTACAAGATAGTTGTTCTCTCTCTCTCTCTCTCTCTCTCTCTCTCTCTCTCATCTCTCTCTCTCTCTTCCTCTCTCTGTCTCTCTCTCTCTGTCTCTCTCTCTCTCTCTGTCTCTCTCTCTCTCTCTCTGTCTCTCTCTCTCTCTCACACACACACACACACACACACACACACACACACACACACGAGAGAGAGAGAGAGAGAGAGAGAGAGAGAGAGATCAACACCAGCTGTCTGCTGTCTTCTATTGGTCTTCATCTTTTTTGAGACAGGGTCTTTCCCTGAACCTTGAGCTCATTGATTTGGCTAAACTGGCTGGCCAGCAAGCCCTGAGGATCTTCCTGTTTCCTCCACCCAGTGGTGGGATTTCAGGTGTACACCCCTATGCTTGGTTTGTGCCTAGGTGCTGGGAATCCAAACTCAGTTCCTCACATTTGTTCACTTTACTGACTGAGCCGTCTTTCCATCCCTAGAAGTCTTCTTCTAGTGAAGTAAAAGTAAGGGAGGGTAATTTAAATGATAGATACAGAGAGGAAATGGGCTGGATGATAAGACAGACTTACATGGAGGTCACTTTAAAGGGACTAAGGAAGAAGGCAAAGGCTGAAACTGCTATGGAAGGACTGAGGGAAGAGCAATCCAGGCAGATAATGAGATCAAAGAGTGGGGGAGAAAAGGGTCTGGACATTAGCCCCAGAGGAAGCCAACCTGAGTTAGGGGCACAGGGATGGCATGAGGTGGCTGGGAAGGATACAGGAGCAACCTCAAGTAGGGTTTGATGGAGAGCAAATGGAGCTCCACGGCTGGAGCGCTACGGGTTGTTTTTTTTTTTTTTTAAGATTGCTTTGGCAGCTATGTGTAGGTTGAATGGGAGAGGGATAGGAAGTGTGGAAATATGAAGACCAGACAGGAGACTGTAGTAGGAGTCCAGAGGGACTGGGCATGAGGAGGGTATGTGTTCAGCGGTGGAGGTGAGGTGAAGCATAAAGAGGTGAGCCAAAGATTGCATCTGCCTTGTATCCAGTGTTTTATCCCAGCAGCCAATGCTCATAATGAAAGCCCAGGAAAGGTTAAATTACATTTTATATGTGTTGTTTTAAAGGAGATGAGTGGAGAGAACATTTTGGAAAAACATACATCATCAAAACTTACGTGTGTCATTCATTACCTTCCCCTTGATCCCCTGCAGGCAAGTCTTCAACTATCTGGGAAGCTTGGCTGTCCAGGACAACTTGTTCTCTGAGCTCTCTGGTTTATTTATGTTACTGGGGAGTATAATCTGTGTGTGTGTGTGTGTGTGTGTGTGTGTGTGTGTGTGTGTGTGTGTCATTGCTTAATTGTTGGCATGTAGTGACTCAACTGGTAATTTAAATTAATAGACTGTGCATATAGGCATGCTATTGTTCTCTTAGATCTCGATGGAGCTTTGATTGGCAGTTAAGTGATGGTGTATTCGAATTAATTACTGCAGCTGAGAAAGAGCTGGGAAAACACACTAGGAAAAAAAATAGATAGTTGTGATGTAGGAGTGAGAGGAAAAGATTCAGCGTGAGAGGGAGCCTAGAATAAATTATCCAGAACTTAAAGGCGAGAGCGGATGCCAAATGGGGCTCTGTCTGTTTGTACCACGGAGGTGTGGTCAGCTCTTAGCCCCACTGGTTCACTGATGCAGGAGCTAGCTCCCCTGATCAGTGTGTCCTCTGTAAGTGGAGCCATCACATAGTGGGTCCCCCCCTTCCTGTTTCTTGGGATTCTCGCCCAGTCAGCTCCACCTCAGGCGATCGCTTTCTTACATGTTTACACACATTCTCTTTAAACGGTATGTTTCTTTTTCCTTTGCTCTTTTAAATCTTGCCCAGTTTACCTCAGGAAATTCTTTTTTTTTTTTTCCCTTTGTTTTATTCTAGAGCCAAAGTAAGGGAGGGTGCGGGAATCCTAGTCATGGTTAATATACATGAGGTTCATGCTGGGATAATCATATTGACGAACGATCCAATTACCAAATCTGGTGGCTGTTGGATTACAGATTTCTTGGCGGCCATTGTCAGTGCAGCATTTCCTCTGCTTAAGTCTCTTCTTTTTGGGGTCTCCTCCCCCTTTCCAGTCATTTGTGCTTGCTGTCTCCCCGTCCTTTTCTGTACTTCAAATTCAGCTGTGTCTAGAAATGTTTTCTCAGCTATTGTATTTTTTCCTTCCATTCTGGAGATGCCGTCCTGAAGTTTTAATTCAGTACGTTGCCTACCTCGTTAGCCGCTTGCTCCTCCTCTCTGACGTTGCGGCTCAATTCTGGGCTTGAATTGAAATCTGCTTCCTAGTTAATAATGTTACAAGACCCAGCATACCAACTCACGTCCTTTCCTGTTGTCTCTCTATATGACAGCAGATTGTTCTGAAAAACCACTGGGCCATCTTCAAGGTTCACCTTAATTTTCCTCCACCTTCTACACTGAAGGGACTCTAGTTCATCAGCCTATCTTTTTTGTCTGTCTGCCTATCAGTCTTTCCACCTATCCATCCATCAGTGTGTCCTTTTCTGTCCCATGTGCTAGTCCGGTGGTTCAGAACTTTATTATCACTCAAGACTAAACTTTCCACTCAACCTTCTCCTCCCTTTCCAACCTTCTCCTCCTCCTTTCCTATTTTCTTCTTTCTTTCTTTTTTTCCCCCTTGAGACAGGGTTTCTCTGTGTAACAGCCCCAGCTGTCCTGGAACTCCCTCTGTAGATCAGGCTGGCCTCAGAACTCAGAAATCTATCTGTGTCTGCTTCCTGATTGTTGGGATTAAAGGCACCAGCGTACCCAGCTGCCACTGTACTCAGTTTCCTTATTTTCAAACATTAATTATTTACCAATTTTTAATGGTGAAGGTTTAATCTAAGACCTCATGCATGCATCCCCAACCTTCTTGACTTTTCAATTACTCATTCATGCTGTACATACAACAAATGTTTGTACATTTGTTGGCTTGTATATGACAGGCACATGGGAGAGTGCTCAAAAGATACTACTGTCTACTTGATTCTGAAATGAATTCACAACAGCTCTGATAAGATAAAATACAAAGTAAATGAAGAAGAGGACCACAGATACCTCCTACAAGTAAATCAGAAATAGGAGTTAACTGAAGCACCCACCTAATGCATGCATTTGTGAATGGACTTTTAGTAGCTGATGGAAGAGGGAAGGAGGGTCCATTTCTGTCATTCCACACTGTCCAGAGAGTAGGACAAGTTGTACAGAAGAAACACAGCTATTCTTGGAATGGAGGTCAGAGAGAACTTTTCCCCCAAGGGCTCTGATAAAAGAGAGTTCCTTGTGACCTCATGAATAATCTCTCTGGTATTCCTATTGTAATCACTATTGGGGGGTTGCTGCTTCTAACAGTGCTCAGTGTGAGCCAGCAGAGGAGGAGTGTGAGTGTGTAAGTTCAATAAAAGTAGTTAAGAGTGTGGGGAACATAGACCCACCACAGTTTCTGGTAAAGCAGCCGTCACAGTACATCCTCAACTCCTTTTCCCATCCCCAAACCCATCATTACACAGATCTCATGACTTCCAGTCTGAAGCTGTTATCCTTGTATCTTGTTCTTGGCTTGTTTGCACATCTCTTGCTGGTCCTGAATGGCCCTGGCCGCTGGATCTGCCTTCCCTCACTGCCTTCACCTTGCTGCCCATCCCTGTGAAGACACGTGCTTTCTTCACATCAAGGTCAGAAAGCAGTTGCCATGCTCATAGGATTTGCTGATCAACAACTCACAGAAGTTTAATTAAAACCAAACACACTGCCACCAACACATCAACCCATTAAAAAACAAAAAACAAAACAAAACAGAATTCTTTGGTAGAACTGTTGTCTCATTTTAAATTTAATATGTATTGGGGGCAGTATTTTTAATAAGAGACTTCATAGTCCTGTTCTCATTTGTTCTGATGTATTTGTGTTGTTTTATAAAAATGTATTTGTTAACTACAGTTCAGCTGACTCTTAGAATCAGTCTGGCACTTTTTAAAATTTTTTTGATAGCACATACTAATTCTATGTAATAATAATTTATGTTACTGGGAAAACTTGGGTTCCATTTTTTGGATTCTCAGTCTTGTTTAATAATAGAATTTAGCCGGGCGGTGGTGGCGCACGCCTTTAATCCCAGCACTCGGGAGGCAGAGCCAGGCAGATCTCTGTGAGTTCGAGGCCAGCCTGGGCTACCAAGTGAGTTCCAGGAAAGGCGCAAAGCTACACAGAGAAACCCTGTCTCAAAAAAACCAAAAAAAAAAAAAAAAAAAAAATAATAATAATAATAATAATAATAATAATAGAATTTAGAAACGGATTCAGAAGGAAACTTAAAGACAGTTACATTAGTTCCCCCCCCCCAAAAAAAATACTCCACCAGGACAGACAGGCTGAGAATCAGCAGCTGCCAGGGGAAGGGAGATGAAGGAGAAGAAAAGAGAAAGAAAGCCTTATGTTTTGAGATTGGATCCTACAAAACTGACATTTTTCAGCATGCAGGTCAGCACACAGCCATGTAGTAGAAGAGTGGAGGGGTTGCTTCAGAGAAAGAGTGGGGAAAGCCAGGGAAGCCATGCGTAGAATTTTGGCCAGTATTGGAAAAAGAGACAAAAGAAGAATGAACAGGTCCGTCCCATGGCAGAGGCTCTGAGCCTAAGGGGCTGTATGGAAAAGGTGTTCCCGAGAATATCTCATTGAGGGAATAATTATTCCTCCCATCTTCCTCTGGCTTTAGATGAGTCAGCTTCCTAAGGGGTGGTCTCCTGATCAGTTGATTGATAGGCCCAGTTGGATTAACCCTTAAGGAGAGGAGACAATGTTATGTAACATCCTAATCTTTAGAACAGATCCTATCTCTCCAGGGACAGAGGTATTCCATTCTTTTAATCAGGAGGCCTAAGGATGGGGCAAAACTAATGTTTACCTTTCTAGTGTTACCACGGAAACAGGAGATGGGGTCCAAATCTCAGAATGTATGTATTTGTACATTGTTTCTGAGAGAAATTTTGTTTGTTTGCTTTTCACATTCTGGATCATAGTTCTAAGATATTTCTATAAAACAAACAAACAAAAAAACAATACCACAGCTAAGTGTGGCTAAAAGACTCCTGGGATTTATCATTTAGATTCTCATCTTGATTCTATAATTAATTACTTAATGGTCTGGTACTTGGTTACCTTGTTATTAAAATGAGATGATTAGATTGCAATTGAATGATAGCAGGAGAGATTATCAGAGGTGACTTTCAGTCCTGGCATTGGCCACAGGTAAAGCCGTCTAGTCCTCCCAGTGATGTTCTGAAGTCAGAATTGTCATTTCTGTTTACACAAGTGGGGGCTGAGGGACAGATTACAGGGTTTGGACAGGGTTGTACAGCCAGCGATCCGACAGGCTCTTGGCCTGGCTTCTGGGAGAAACCCTTAACCGCTATGCTTTCTAGTTCAGTGGTTCTGTGATGTGCTATTTATAAGGCAAAGCCTGTATTTTGAAATTTTGAGGCAGTAAAATTAGTTTTACTGAAATTCAGTTTTGCCTTATCCCTCCCGAGTTATTTTTAAATCCAGTAACTTATATTTAAATGAAAGTGGTACTTTCTTGCTTGTTCCCAAATGTGTTTGCGTGTGGGGTTATTTGACTATAGCATTAGACAACAGGGAAGAAGTCAGTTACTGATGTTCTGTGATCTTCAGTGTCTGTCTGGCAGGAGACTCAGCATCACTTATGAGGATATATTCTTTCTTTTTTGGTATAACTTATTTATTTTTATTTTGTTTGCATTGGTGTTTTGTCTGCATGTATGTCTGTGTGAGGGTGTCAGATCCTGGAGTTACAGACAGTTGTTAGCTGCCACATGGGTGCTGGGAATTGAACCTGGGTCCTCTGGAAGATCAGTCAGTGCTCTTAACCACTGAGCCATCTCTCCAGCCCTTATGAGAATGTTTTCTGTACCCACTTGTAGCTGGAGAATTTTTCTCCAGCTCCCACCGCCAAGTCCCGCCAGACCCGGAGCCCACTTATAAAATAAACACACAGACTCTTACATTATTTAAACTGCTTGGCCATTAGCTCAGGCCTTTCATTGTCTAGCTCTCACTCTTATATTCAGCCCATTTCTATTAATCTTTACTTTGCCACGTGGCTCGTGGCTTACCGGTACTTTACATCTTCCTTGTCCTGGCGGTGGCTCCAGCCGGTCTCCCTTTCCTTCCTCTTTCCTCAATCCTCCTCTCTCCTTGTCCCGCCTATACTTCCTGCCTGGTCACTGGCCAATCAGTGCTTTATTTATATCGAGTGATATCCACAGCACCACTCTTCTTTCCTTTCTGCAACAGGCCTTTGACCCTCTCTGAAGCATTGGAGAATGGTCAAGCTTGGATTTTTTGGAAGTACTAAGTATTTAGCCAGATCACTATGTGGAGTATTTAATGGATTATCTATTGTCATTCACTCCACAGATACTATGACCACTGATTGTGCTAGAAGCGTGCTATGAAATAGCAAAAACACAGATCCTTAAGGAGATATCTGAGAAGTTTTACAGACTCTTGATTCGTGGTTATCAAACTATAGCTACTATCATCTCATCATACATATGAGCAGCTAGTCTTATTCAAGCCTTTTCCCAGTATGACCCAGGCCCAAACTTCCAACTCTTCCTCACAGCCCATCCATCCACCATCTTTCATCTACACCCATTGCTGTTGGTAGGACGGTCAGTTTACTTTTCTGTCTAGGATACTTTTGAGTAAAAAAAAGTGTGTGTGGGGGGGACTGTTAATATTTATTTTGGGACAGTAAATATAAGCCAGAATTGTACCAGGTTGACTGCAATGTATTTTCATTTCTAATGATCTGAATGGATGCCCTAAGCTGAACGTTGTTTGCCATGATGAAGTTGGTGTTAGTGTATGACACACATATCAGAGGTAGTCCCTTGGGTTTGTGAGTTGGTAGGCTTAGATATGGTTTTCCTGGCAGGAGTTTATTTCCCAGTCTACAGAATCTACAGATTTTCTCAGGTAAGTGTCTTAAAGCAAAAATTCTCAGTGAAGTATAAAGTAACAACCCTGAGTAGTCTTTCTTTGGACAGAAAACAATGAGAGGGTCAGGGAAAGGGGGAGGGGGGTAGGGAGAGGGAGGGAGGGGAAGGGAGGGGAGGGGAGGGGAAGGGAGGAGAGGGGAGGGGAAGGGAGGGGAGGGGAAGGGAGGGGAGGGGAGGGGAGGGGAGGGGAGGAGAGGAGAAGGAAGAGGAGAGATTGCTCTACCCACCTGCATTATGGAAATGGTGAAATCCCCTGAGTGCACTTGCTTTTAGGTTTAAGCCATACTTGTTGGCAACTGGTCTGCAGGGTACTACCTGATTCATCATTAGGAATACATTTCCTGCCCCTATAGAATGAAGTTAGGGCCTTAGAGTTTTAGAAATTAGAGCTGTTGTCCAGGCCACTCATTAGTAGTTCCCTTTGGATTTGAGACTTCAGAATTTACGATTTTAACCTTAAAAATCATTACCTTATCTAGGGGGGATTTTTGTCAAGGTTATTTACCACCATTTATGGCCAGTAAGTGAAAAAAACAAAAAACAACACCAAGATGTTATCATGTAATTCTAATAACCTCAACACAGCCCAGAGTCGCAGGCTGAAAATGTAGCTAGCTCAGTTTATTACCATTTCCATGGAAGCACCTGAACGTAACAATGTATTCAAATCTTTGCAATGCCCAAAGACCGTTCAGTCCATTTTAGCATTGCCCTACAAGAGGAGACGGTACTAAGGTGGAGCAAAAGGAAGGCGACGCCTTAAATGTTAACTGATCCACCAGAGCAACTCTGGGTGCTGGGGGACCAGCTGCAGTTTTGACTCAGTTTTGATGGAGAATAAGCGATACTGCATTGGAATAGCCATTTCCTTGAGTCTGGCTGTGTCAGAGAGGACACATGAGACGTGGAGGCCTAAGCCACAGCATTCACTTTGCAGTCAGGGAGAGAGACACACATACATGCTCAAACAAAGTCTCTGGAAGCCATTCTTACCTTTTTTTGTTTGCTCTGTTTTTTTTTCTATTTCAAATTTAAAAAGTTGGCTCCGAACCATTAAGATGATTTCACAACCCATTAATTGGTTGTGAGCTGAAGTTTAAAAACTACGCGTCTAAATAGATTTTTTTTTTTTGTGGGTACGCATGTGTGAAGGCAAGAACCATGAAGTAATGTTTTCCTATCAGTCCTGTTAATAAGTATAATAAATAATGAGCCATAATAAAGCATGAACCATTTAGTTAATTAGAATATTTACCATAATACATGCTGTTGGGTTGCTTTCCTTATGAATAGTGCATTCTGTCTGCTAGGATGAAGTAATTGAGTGTTTCCAATCTGCCCAGACGGTAATCCTTACAATACTTGTTGTTGATGTTAAATGGTCTATTGAAATAGCATTTTGTCTGTGTGTCTTGGCTGGTAATGAACACTGTTTTGTCATTGTAGGGTTACCAGAACAGCTGTTGACACCCAAAGAATGCCTGAAAACACCCGTTAAGTAGCAGAAAAAAGAAATCATAGTTTTAACCCTTTTCTGCTTTATATGATGCCAGATGGTAGAGTACTTGATCATGAAGAAACTAAGCTCCTTCTGTTTCTGGCATTCATTCTTCAGTGTAATAAACATTCTCCAGTAGTAGAACATTATGTTTTTCTCTTTAGAGTATATCCCACACTTGAAAACTAGTCTCTATTTAAAAACACAGAAAACTAACCAAAAAGAAGCTGAACTTCTACTATTAGGAAATACTGAATTAGCCTCACTAGTTTTATTTTTATTTTTAGTTACTCCTTTAAGAACATGCCTTTTAAGCCGCACATGCCTTTTCTTTGTGGAGTGATATTTGCAGACTAGTGTGGGGTTCACTGTCTTCTCTAACTTACGGGCTTGTGCCTCCCTGAAGAACACACCCTAAGTGTCTCCTGGCCTGTGTTGCTTCATCAAGAGCATAAACAATTACGGCATAAAATATTATGTTTGGAATGAAGTCATGCGTCGTTCTTAATTGCTGAACTCTCATAATTTTAAAGGGGGGTGTGTTTGTCTACTCATTCACACACTTGCTAACACAAGCAAAGGAGCCCACACAGACAGATAGGAAAAGTATGAATCTGAAGGTTTCTTATTTTCTACTAATGCATGGAATGTGCGGGATCAGGAATGCTAAAGTGGGAGTTATAATGATAGCTTTAGCCTTAGAAGTTACTGAAGTTCAGAGAGCTGGAAGCCTTCTCTGCTTTTGTCTCATTGCCCTGTATATGATCTTCCTATAGCAAACCGGGCACGCTTAAATGTCAGCAGCTTTTCATGCAATTAAAGTTCTTATTTCTAAAGGTCACTTAAAATGCCTCAGGCTGTACCTCTGCTTACCTTGGTAGCTGCTCTTATGATCTGTAGCCACCTTGCTCATAATGTTTGAGTTTCCTGATGATCATGTTTTAATTTATCGTGTTACTTGTAATTCTTTAATTCTTTGATGGTTCTGTGCTTTCGACAACTCTAATTTTATCTCATTTGACCATGATTTTTTTTTTTATATTACCCCTTTCTCCTAGGAAGCATCCTCATACACCTCATACCAGTTACTTAGTTCAGCATCATTCTTTTTTTTTAAAAAAAGGCAAAGAAACACAGTGTGGACTATGGTTTACATCATGACAATATACATTATATAAATGTCTATATATGTATGCATATTATATATAGTTCTATCAAATATAGACATAAATAATTTTCATATATCAGTAGTTAATTTTATATGTAGGTTACTTAACTTCGGTGGTGGCTGTTTACTATGTTTCTTTTAAACAATGATGTTTATCACTAGCTAAATAGATTTCATTCCTTCTCCTATGCTACCAACTTAAAAGTATTTGGGAGGGTTTTTGGCTATACTGGACTGGTGTGTTAGGAAACATCCATGGCAAATGTTCTAGTGGTCAGCAAGTGTCTTAAATAATGAAGAATTAGCCCATTCATTGAACATGCACATTGTGTCTTTACTGAGAAACATTGTCAACCTAATAAGTGAAACCACAAATCTAAATAATCGCTCTCTATAAATTAACACCTTTCCTTTCTGGTTTTTAAAATATATATTTGTTTATTTTTATATATGTGTGTGCATGATTTTATGTGTACCGTGTGTGTATCTGGTGCCATGGAGGCCAGAAGAGGGTGCAAGATCACCTTGAATGGGATTTACAGATATTTTTGAGTCCCCTGATATGGGTACTGGGAACTGAACCCAGATCCTCTGCAAGAGCATCAAATGCTCTAACCACTGAGCAAGCTGTCCACCCCAACCCCTCTGCTTTGTAGTGTACAGCAAGGAGTCACTGAGGGTTTCTTAGAGTGATCTAACTTGATAATTTCTTCTTGTTCTGTCATTTGTGTGTACTGCTTTGTGAGGCTTTTAAGGGTTAGTCTATGTTTTGTGTATCCCCAAACACAGGTACACACACACGGTAGGTGCTCAGTAAAGAGAATGAATAGGTTTGGCTAAATGTCCTCATGCAAGTCGATAGCAGACAAACAAATAAAAAACCAACATGAGCAAAATAATCGATCCAAACTGAAAAAACACCCAGTTTCTTGATTCTCAAGCCAGTCTGTCAATCACATTTTTGGTTTTATATAGAGATTGGAGAGAAACCCTCTAGGCACAGAATGAATGATTTAGACAGAGATGTTAGGAGGTAGTTATATGTCTCTCATCTATTGACACTACTGTTCTATTTTCTGTCTTTATAACTTCTCCCCCTTATATTGGTGTAATGAGTGTGAGATTCCTCTGCACCATTGCTTGCATCCCTAGTTCGTCCCATCCTGTGCTGGGTCACATTCCGTTGAATACACATGCATGGGATTTGTTGTGCATTTAGTGGTAAAAGATATTTGAGTTGTTTCCAGTTTTTTTGGCAGTGATATTATTCAGACCTAGGATGCTGTGCAATATGATCGTAAGTTTTTTCTTCAATTGTGTAAGAAACGACCAAGGTGCTTTCCAGAGCAGTTGTGCCTTTTGCAATAGCTCCGTAAGTGAATGGCGTTAGTTATTTCGCAGCCTCATCAGCGCTTGTCAGTTCTGATAGCTCTGTGGTATCGCACTTTGCATTTTCCTAGTAATTAATGCTAAATAATTTTTTGAAATGCTTACTCACATTTGTAAATCTTCTTTGGCTAAATAGCTGTTCAAAGATTTTTTTTTTTTTTTTTTTTTTTTGCCCATTTTAAAGTTGGGTTTGTTTTCCATCATTGATTTTGAGAATTTTTTCTGTATTGTGTTTCTGTAGGACCTTGGCAAGGCTTCAAGGCAGTAGATATTGATGTTCCTCATGTTTTACTAATAGGTCTTCTTAGTGTTTTTGTGTCTTTTAATATTTTAAAAATGGTAGTTCGCTTTTGCAGTGTTTATTTAATGAAAACATTCTGAATGGCATTAAAATGGAGGTTTTTAACCCACGATAGTGATGGTAAAATAAATTAAACGTTCTTCCTCTGTGATATGAAGAGTCACATGTTTTCAAGGTTTAAACCTGGCATTTTCTCAACCATGAGTGGGGAGAAAGATCTTATTCCTAGGATATTTCAGGACCTAGAGTAGAAGATGACTTTACAAGTTGCTAACTTTTCTCTCTGGTAATTAACACTTATTTTAAGTGTCAGTATGGTGATTGTGGGGAGTATTCCAAAGATACAGACTACAGAGAAATAAGTCTTCTTGAAACATCAGGGAAGAGGCTGGACAGCACAGAAGCCTTGTCTACCACTGCCCAAAGCTGTTTGCAGTAGAAATGCTGCACAGGCGTTAGAAGCATGTCTGTGTTAATAGCTGGTAGGATCCTAGGAGTGCCGGATAAAACAGGACAGAAGTCTGTAGAGCTGCAGCTAATTAAAATAGCATCTATGCAGTTCTGGCCCCATCTGCATCGTGAAGTCACAGTTCTTCATGGATATGTACTTATTCTTATTTT